TAAACTATGACCAACATCAGTGGCAGCTCTGTCGCGATTTGAAGGTTGTTGCTCTCTTGCTTGGTCTGCAGACTGGATACACAAAGTACTGCTGTTTTCTCTGCGAATGGGATAGTCGTGCAAGAGATTCCCACTACATCAAGAAAGATTGGCCACTCCGACAGTCATTGGAGCCTGGGAGGAAAAGTGTTCAGCATCCACCACTTTTTGAATCAAGGAAGATTTTGTTACAACCCTTACACATCAAGCTGGGTCTGATGAAGAACTTTGTCAAGGCCATTGACAAAACACAAGCAGCTTTCAAGTACCTCCGTGGAAAATTTCCAAGGTTAAGTGAAGCTAAGATAAAGGAAGGTGTCTTTGTTGATCCTCAGATTCGTGAACTTCTTCGAGATGATGCATTTGACCATGCACTGCATGGCAAGGAAAAGACGGCATAGAAAGCCTTCCAGTTAGTGGCAATAAATTTTCTCGGAAACAACAAGGCAGACAACTACAGGTTGTTGGTGGAAAAACTCCTCAAGGCATACAAAAGCCTTGGTTGCAACATGTCACTAAAACTACATTTTTTGCACTCTCATCTAGATTTTTTTCCACCGAACTGCGGAGCAGTGAACGACGAGCACGGCAAGCGATTTCACCAGGACATTGCAACAATGGAGAAACGCTATCAGGGCAAATGGAGCCCATCAATGCTTGCAGACTATTGCTGGACAGTGACAAGAGATGCTCCATTTAATGAATACACGAGACAAGCCAAGAAGCGCCGAGTAGACACTGAATAGGACTAAACTATGTACATAATCGTTTTTTGCCTTTTGTTTCATAATAAATTTTATTTATCTAACCCTTTTGCTGATTTTTAAAGTGTTACATAAACAGGACAGGTGAAATATTATCATGTAAAGCAACCATAAACACATGAAAAGACCTAGGTTTACAATTTATGATTAAAACTCTACTATCTACACAATATACATAGACATAAAATGTAAAAACTTAAATATCTTAGAAACAGTAGCCAATCAGTTGTTTTAATTGTCATATTTGAATTCAGCGCATCAAAATACATAATAAATAGCACATTTTATCTCTGAAGCAGACGACTTCTCAAAAATTGTAGACCCGTGCAATCGAAGTGCCAATGTTTGGAAGCTGGGCCACGTGCAGAATAGCTTCTAATTCCCACCTGCCCCTCACCTCTCACCCATTAATCTAATCAGCCAAGGTACCTGGAAGCAAGGGCTTCCCGCCCCTAAACCCACTGTCTGTATGCGTGAATGCATGCTTGCACTTTTTCTCTATTTGGTAGAATGTGTGAGCCTGCACATGGGATCCTCCTCTCTTGGTTAGTAGAGCTGCATCTCTAGCTTACAGGATGAATACAGTATCTGGGTTTTTAAAAGGTGCCCAGCCTTTCAAGGCTGCTTCAGGCCCCATCAGGAGTCATGAGATCCCCACTAGCTCTTCCAGTGCCCCCCAAAACCTCCCTCCATCGCAGCCTCGAGCCCCCACATCCTGACAACCTCTGTCCTATACCAGCACCACCCACCGCCACCACCTCAATACACAGCCAACCCGACTTACCCCGCCCCCCCATAACCTCAAAGCACCTCCACTCTCAATAGCGAATAGATCACATTCTTTCTACTCCGGTAATTTTATTGTCAGTCTTGTGATTTTTTTCTTAAAGCCCCAGCTCCTGGAGTCAGGTGACTACATAAGAACTTTTATCTAAAAAAAATGGAAGTTTCTAGTTCTAGGGGTTTGTAAAGAAAAGTGAGACCTAAAGGTTCAAAATCCAGAAGGTAATTAAAAGGGACCCCAAATGTGTGGTTTAAAAAAAAAAAAAAAAAAATCTTGATTTTGAATGTATGGAGGTTGGCAACATTGTAAACCCCCCACTGATTGCACCCCAAACCCACCCCATACAGAGCCTCTGCACCAATTGAACCCCAAACTCATCCAATACAGAGCCACACCATCCCCAACCATTGCACCCCACACCCACCATATTCAGAGTCACCCCACCCACTGCACCCCAGAGCCACCCAACCCCCATCTACTGCAATCCAAACCCACTCCAAAGAGCCACTACACCCTACCCATTGCACCCCAAACCCACCCCATACAGAGCCACCCCACCCATTGCACCCCAAGCTCACCCGATACAGAGCCACCCCACCCACTACACCCCAAAACCCCACCATACAGAGCCTCCCACCCCCACCCACTCCATCTGAAACCCAACCCATAAAGAGCCACCCAACCCCCACCAATTGCACCCCAAACCCACCCCATACAGAGCGCCCTAACCCCCACCCATTACATCCCAAACCCACTGCGTACAGAGCCACCCAACTGCCACCCAGTGCACCCCAAACCCACCCCATTCAGAGACACCGACCCCACCCATTGCACCCGAAATCCACCCCATACAGAGCCACCCTCCCCCGCCCATGACACTACCCCATACACAGCCACCCACCCCCACCCATTGCATCCAAAACCCAACCCACTGCACCCCACCCACTGCAACCTATACCCACCCTACCCAGAGCGACCCCACCTCAAACCATTGCACCCGAAACCCACCCCATACAGAGCCACCCACCCATTGCACCCCAAACTGACCCCAGAGCCACCCAACCCCCAACCAATGCACCCAAACCCACCCCATACATCCCCACAAATTGCATTCCAAACCCACCCCATACAGAGCCCTGAACCCCCACCCATTCCACCACAAAGCCACGCCACACAGAGCCACCCCACAGAACCCCAAACCATTGCACCCTAAATCCACCCTGTACAGAGCCACCCCACCCACTGCACCACAAACACACCCCATCTAGAGCTACCCCACCCCACTACACCTCAAACCCACCCTATTTAGAGACACCCCACACCCCCACATTGCACCCCACACCCATGCTACAGAGCCACCTCACTCTGCACACTGCACCCCAAACCCACCCCCTACAGAGCCATCCCACCCCCACCATACCCAAAACCCACCCCATACAGACCTACCAACACCCACCCAATGCACCCCAACCCTACCCCAGATAGAGCCACCTCAGCCCTCCCATTGCACCCCAAACCTACCCATGCAGAGCCACCCCAAACCCACCCCATAGAGAGCCACCCATCTGCACCCATTGCGCCACAAACACACCCCATACAGAGCCAGTCCACCCACCCACACACACACACTGCACCCCAAACCCATCCCACACAGAGCCACCCAACCCCCCTGCCCATGGCAATACCCATAAAGAGCCACCCACACTCACCCATTGCATCCAAAACCCAACCCATATAGAGCCACTGCACCCCACCCACTGCACCCCAAATTCACCCCATAAAGAGCCATAAAGATTTTGGATGGGTAGATGCTACCACCACCCAAGTGCAGAACCCTCTTGAGAGCTCAGGAAGGCACACTTGTGGGGTACCTTCAAGCCCTTTCACCCCCCCCCCCTCCAGGGAAGAGCTGAGA